CTTTTTTCACCTGTCTCCTTTTCCAGAAGGCATGGGCACAATAAAAGGAAGGACCCACCAGGGTGTACTCCTGACTCTAAAATTGCTGCTGCTTCTCCTCCTCCCCTTCCTCCTCTTCCTTCTGTACTGGGGATTGAACTCAGAGGCACTTTACCACTGAACTATGTTCCCAGTCTTTTTATGCAGGGGGTTGGGGTGGGGTGGTAAACCAGGGAGGCACATTCCCAGCCCTTTATATTTTTTATTTTGAGACAGGGTCCTACTAAGTTGCTTAGGGCCTCACTTAAGTTGCTGAGGCTGGCTTTGAACTTGTGATCCTCCTGCCTCAGTCTCTTGGGATGCTGGGATTACAGGTGTGCATCACCACATCTGGCTCTTCTTGGCTATGAAAGATTTGGATCCAGGAGTTAAATTTAGATTTGGCTTCCATAGATGGTAATGAGACAGATGAGAATGCTAGATTATTATATCTGCATGATATTCTCAGAATTCTAGGCAAATTCTCATTCTGGTATTTTAGACTGTGCATAGGTATACATAAATGTAGACATCAACATTGCACATTTTCTCTTCTTTTTATTTTTTATTATTTTGTGGTGCTGGATATCAAACCTAGGGCTTCTCATATGCTGTGGCAAGTGTTCTACCATTATGCCATACCCTAGCCCCAGCTTGAATATTTTGCCCATCTAGATTGAAACCAACACCTCATGCATGGTAGGCAAGTACTCTACACCTGAGCCACATCCCAGCCTGGCATTGCATATTTTAAAAACATGTATTTCTCAGTAGAAAACACTAAAACATCCAGCTATTAGGCACAGCATTGACTAGCATCTCCAGGGTAGCCTGATGATTAGGTGTGGAATGTCTGTAGTCAGATCACCTGGGTTTAGATCCTGGCTTTGCTATTACCAGGTGAGTTTGGCAGGTTACTTAGCCTCTCCAGGTCTTACCTGTAAAGGGGGATAATAATAGCACCTCCTCAGGACAATAGCACCTCCCCACAGGATTATTATGAGGACCAAAGGAATCAGCATATGTAAAGCTGCTCAAGACCATATCTAGCAGACAGTGAGTTAATATTCACCATTATTGAAGTATGAGACATCCCCTCCTTCAGTGGGATGCTGAATGCAAGCCTGGAATCAAACCAAAAAGGCTCACAGATTGAGGTTCACCACTTTTTACTTCCTAGAATGCTGATTCACAGCAGTGGGGGGGGGGTCTAGAAAGCAGCACAGCAGGAAAGAGGCAGAGAAGCCTGGCTGGAGCAGTCTACTGAGGCAGCAGGAACTCCCTGAATAACTGAGCTGACTATGCCCAGCATAAGGGAAGCAGGAGAATCTGGCTGGGTGTTTCCATGAGGCTGGACTGTTTGCAGACCACYGCACCTGCATGTCTTTGAGCTCCATTATTTGTTCCTCTGTGAGTTAGAGCAGGCGTCATGATTCATGATTCGATTCACAGAGGAGGATGCTGTGGCTCAGCAGAGGCAGTGGCTTGGCAGATGTCCCCACCAAATAGAGCCCTGGCTTCAGGACTCCAGATCCAGTGTCTTTTCCCTCCCAGCCTCTCAGTGGATCTGCAGCCCCAGCACTAAGTGCCTGAACAACCCAGAAAGCCATCAAGAATGGGCTTCTCTTCTTCAACCCCCACAAAATGTAAGGGGTGAGCAGTTCTTCCAAGAACAATCAAAACGCTTCCTGCTAAAGTGGAGGGCTTCCCTTGTGGCTGGTGCTCTAGGACCTGTGACTGTGTGCTTTGAAATCATGTGCTTTGAAGRTTAAGGTAGGAAGCTAGAAAGAGGAGGGGGAGAGAGCTGGCTTCATGCTTGGCTTGCTGGGTCCTCTTCAACAAGGCGTGCTAAACTGATGAGCCGGAGAGCGTTAAGTGCTCTTCAGCTTGGGTCAATATGTATCACCTGTGTCCTAGCAAGAAGAATGGTGGATGGCATGTCTATTTGGGACAAGGAGGCTCAGCTGCACCCTCCTTATCCATGACAGTCATTGCTAACTGACCTTAATCTTTCCCCCTGAGCCTCAGAATTCTGAACCCAGGACTCCAGGCAGCTCTTACCAGTCACATCTGTTAAGTGAGAGGATCCCGTTGTCCATTTCTCATTTACTGGCATCCCTTCAGTGAAGTGAACAGTTAATTTATTTTGAATTTCTGCATCTTCATTTGGTGTTTAGGTGACTCAGGAATTCCTAGTCATGGCAACAAGGTATTTTACCAGCTATTAGGGATGTGACCACTCTGACACTTCCACTTTGCTGTATCATCAAGCAGCTCTTCAAATAAAACTTGGCCACCTCATTGGCACACAGTGGTCATCTGTGTTCATTGTGACCAGCCATCTTTTCTCTCTTTGGAGGCAACTGTTTTATTCCGTCCACTAAAACCTAGAAGTGAGACAGTAGTAAGAAAAAGGGGGCTTCCTTTTCTCCCATTCACATCCGAGATTAGCACACCCTGTCCAGACAAATTGAGACCCACCCTTCCTTTCCAAGGTAACCATGTTGCTCTGAGACAGCTGTAGTACATGCCCAAGGGGACAGTATGTGTCTGCAGTGGTCTATGTCTACCTTAGTAGGCCATGTACATAGTATGACCAATAATGCCTCATAGATGATTTTGTCCTGAGTATGTCTATAGGGCACTGTGGGATCTGTGAGAGTTGCAGTTCTAGAACTTCAGAGCACAGGCATTATTTCGATTGGATCTCTACTTTTATTCTTTCCCCATTTCAGCAATTAGGAGGAAGTTGGGGAGAAGGTGGCAGGACAGTAGACAGGCAATACAGACTAAACAGAATGATAACGCTGACGCTGACTTTTTTTTTTTTTTTGTATCAGGGATTGAACTCGGAGGCACTCAACCACAGAGCCACATCCCCAGTCATATTTTGTATGGGTCTCGCTGAGTTGCTTAGTGTCTCTGTTGCTGAGGCTGGCTTTGAACTCGCCACCCTCCTGTTTTAGGCKCCTGAGCTGCTGGGATTACARGCATGCACTACCGTGCCCTGTGATTTTTTTGTGTCTTAATGCTGTTCGTGTTTCAGCCATTAGGGCAACTTGGTGAAGTGGCTTGAAAGTGATCAGTTGCTAGGCCACTATATAAAAAAGTCTTTTGGTCACTCACTGCCAGATTGTCACCGATAAACTCAGGATCCCTTAAGGTCAAGACTTCCTTCTGGCACAAGAGCTTTGGATTCATAATAACTAGGCCTGGCAAATGGCACTGTTTCCAACCAAAGACCTGACTGTGCCTTTCAAAAATGTTTATCATGAATTCACTCTGAATGTTCCTGATCATCCTTAGAGTGTTTGGGAAATACAAAAAGATGAAAAAGCAAAAAAAAAAAAAATCCATCATCCCATAAACTAACCAAAAAATTTCAACATTTAGATATATTTTATTAAAGTCTTTTTAACGCATCTATGTATAAATTTTTAGAAAACTGTCTCATAATGAACGTGCAATTTTACACTTAAGTACCAATTTTTATATCATTAAATAATTCAAAAACACCATTTTAAGTGGATATGTTAAGAGTTCATCTTACTGACACACCATAATTTATTTAACTCTTTTGCTGCTGAACATTTTAGTTGTCTCAACGTTTTTATGAATTGCTATTCATAATAGCATGTGTTTGGGGGGAGAAAATAGAGTAGGAGACAGAGTTTTTCATGTCTTGATGGAATGTCAGTGCTGTTCATCATATGCTATCACTAACCTCACAGATATATGCATGTGCACACAGATTTTATGTTCCTGCATAGATATACAGTATGCTTTTTTTTACAGTTCAAAAAGCATTTTTTTAATATTGAGGATTCAATTCAAGGGCACTTAACCACTGAGCCACATTCCCAGCCCTATTTTGTATTTTATTTAGGAACAGGGTCTTGCTGAGTTACTTAGCACCTTGCTAAGTTGCTGAGGCTGGCTTTGAACTTGCAATCCTCCTGCCTCAGCCTCCCGAGCCACTGGGATTACAGGCATGTGCCACTTCCCCTGATAAAAAAAAAGCATTTTTTAAATTAGAGCTTTATGGGTGTGCATAGTAGTTGGGTTCTTCCTGACAGACTCATACATGCATGGAATTCAACTTCAGTTCATGATCTCCCTTTTCCCTGCCCTCCCCCATTCTTCTTCCTCTACTAGACTTCCTTTCACTCTTCTATTTATTTACATTTGATTGGTTATTTTTACTTATGCATAAAGGTGAGCTTCCCTGTGGTATATTTATATATGCACATAAAATGATTTTTTAAGAATTCATTTTGCATGTTTGCCTAGCATGTTTGATACTTAAAAAAGGGGACTCTACCGGCTGCCCAGAAAAACTGAGCCTTTGAAACACTAATCATAAAGGATTAATATTCTCTTCCAGTAAATTATAAAAACAGTGGTAGTGGGCGGGGCAGGGTGGTGCATGCCTGTAATCCCAGCTACTCAGGAGGTTTAGGCAGGAGGATTGCAAGTTCAAGCCTAGCTTGGGTAACTAAGTGAGACCCTGCCTCAAAAATAAACAGTGAAAAGGGCTRGGGAGCTGGGCACAGGGTGCTTGCCTGTAATTCCAGGTTTGGGAGGCTGAGACAAGAGGATTGCAAGTTCAAAGCCAGCCTCAGCAAAAGTGAGATGCTAAGCAACTCAATGAGACCCTGTCTCTAAATAAAATACAAAATAGGGCTGGGGATGTGGCTCAGTGATTGAGTGCTTCTGAGTTCAATCCCTGGTACTAAAAACAAAAATAAATTAAGATTGGGGATGTAGCTCAGTGGTAGAGCGCCCCTGGGTTCAATGTTCAGTACTGCAAAAAGCAAAGTAAAAATCAGCAGTAGGAGTAGTTGAGTCTTGGAGAGCAAATTGTAGCTTCTCTGTTGAGTCCTGTGAGGTGCTGTTTAATGGGATGTGATGCCTTTGCTTGTCTTCCTGCCTATGGTCCATTTGGTAATCACAGCTGCTTCTCTCTCCTTCTCTCCCTTTAGTTACTGGGGCTTCCGGATGCAGATGATGATGCATTTGAAGAGTACAGTGCAGATGTGGAGGAGGAGGAACCAGAGGCGGACCACCCCCAAATGGGGGTCAGTCAGCAGTAAACCTCCAAGGGCACCTTCTGGAGAAGGAAAGTGAGCCCGCTGTACCCTAGGTGGGGTTYTGTGCTCCTGGGTTAGCATTTTGCATTAGCACTTCGAAACAGGACGTCTGGCTCCCAGCATCCAAATTAAAATGAATTACCTTTTTAATGACCACACAATATCTGTGATGAGCTTTGCTCAGAAGTGACCTGAATTTCAGTCCCGCTTCAGTGGGGTTTCTATGGAGTTGTCTTGGTAGCCTTTGCCACTTTGAATTTAGAGTCTTTTGTGGCTGCCTATTCTCTCTTGAGTTTATGTTGGAGAATTAACATTCGCTGACTGGAATGTAGAGAACTCTGAATGTATTAAGGATGTGTTTTGAGTCCTCGCAGGTGACCTGGCTGAGGAACAGCATGGCAGAGAAGCAATGCAGTCTGCACTTTTATGTACCTTTTAAGTGTCCATAAGTGAAAGGTTTTGCTTATAAAGCATGAGTTTAAATATCTAGTCATTAAACTGCACAAGTGCAAATACAAGGGCAGAAAAGGATGATYACTTAGCTTTGGATTAAGAGGGTAAGAGAGGCAGAGAAGCCTGGAGTGTTTCGCCATCACTGAGCTGGTTACCTGGTACATAGCAGCTGGTTCCTGGTTAGATATAAATGTTACTTGCTTGTTCAATTGGTTTAAAAATGCTAATTCCAAAGCCACTTTTTAGTCTAATAGTGGAAAATATAAAGGGGTGAGAGACAAAAACTAATAATTTCTTTAAGCAGTTTATAAACCATCCCATATATGAAATGAGACATTTACCTTCTGTCTTTCTAATGAGATGGCCACTTGTTAAATCAAAAAAAAGTCCAGAATTAAGTAAGTGCCACTTAAACTTTGAAGCCATAGATCCATAGATAAATTTAGTAGGAAAATAAACCAGGATAAAAATTTTTTAAAAAACTATAACGGAATCCTTTACTTTCTTAATCTTTTATTCTTAAAAAAAAAAAGCCAAGAAAAGGCTCCTGTTCTATAATTTGTTTAAAATTATAACAAGTACTTTAAGGGACCTAATAGTAGTGAACTTTTAAAGTAACATGAAAATAGGCAACTTGATGATTGGGTGGCTTGGTTAAAGGGGGCATATTTAATGATCAAGATACTCAGACAACTCACAGAAACAACTGCTGTCTTCATTTAGCCAACAAATGCTTACTGGGGACATCTCTGTAATGCCAGGTTGGAACTATTTGACATACTCGTTTTCTTGGACCTCGGGCATCATCTCTGGTTCTAATCACGTAGGATGTGGAATGAATGCCTCTTTTACAGCACTTGACTTCCTCTAGCATCTGGGCTGGGAATGTTCCAAACATGCCCACATGTGCCCATTAGGTTGTCAGTATTTTGAATTAAAAAAAATCAGTAGCAGAGGCCACAGAACTCATGGGAGTCTTGTACATCTTCCAGGCATGTTGGTGTGAACCTGATCGTCTTAGCATTTTCTGTTTAATTAAGTGGTGCTGTGAGGAGCTTGGCTGCTCGTGGTCTAATAGTGTGCTGTACTTTTCTGTCATCGGGTAAATAACACGGTGGTCTCCATGTTTTATTCTTTTTCTTGGGAAAGCACATTAAWGGTTAATTTCAAGTCAGATCAATTTCCCTAGAGTAACCTATTAGCAAAAGCAGATTCAGAGTTTCATCCATTGGGGTCAGCAGCCCTGACCYGTGCCCACTGGCTCTGCCCTGAACAGAGGTCATCGTGAGCTGACATCTGCAGAGAGTGCCAAGGTTTGGTACCCTTCWTTTAAATACAATGGTTGCAAGAACGACTTCTGCACCAAAAGGAAGATAAGTGATTAGCTTGCTCCAGTTCCAAGGTAAACTGGAATTTACACACAGAGGGTTTTACATCTAAATTTACATATGCTTGGGAATGGAATGGTTGTTACTGTAGAATATATCTTATCAAAAAAATGTTTAGACTTGAACCAGACACATTTTGGTATCACCATGTTGATGTTCTGTTTATAMAAATTGAGCTGAAATGGTCAGCCACTCACTGAGAATTCTGGTCTCTGTTCTGCCTCAGTGATGGGGGAGAGATCACTGTGTGACTTATTTCATGGTAAAACCCCTAAGGCTTTAAGCAGATCCAATTGTTTCCTCTAAAACTTCCTTCTCTGACGGTGTGCACATCCCTGCAGTGCTCTGGTGTGCTTACTCAAACACTCCCTCCAGCCCACACCGTGGCACCTGCCGGTCAGGTAGATTGGGCAGCCTATGTTAGGGAATTGATTCTGTGGTGCAACAGTTGTGGGACCTTTCCTAGACACTCACTAGGAGGTACAGCTGTGTGCTGGGGTGAGGAAAGACCCTAGGTTCTAGCCTTGACTCTGCCTTTTTTTTTTTTGGTACCAGTGATTTAACCCACGGGCTATCCCACTGAGCCACATCCTCAGCCTTTTTTATTTTTTATTTTACGTTGCTTAGGGCCTTGCTATATGGCTGAGGCTGGTCTCAAACKTGAGATCCTCCTGCCTCAGCCTCCCCAGTTGCTGGAATTACAGGTGTGCACTGCCACACCTGGCTTGCCTCTGCCATTGACTGTGTGACCTTGATGAGTCATTTGGCTAGTCTCTGGAACAGGGGTATTTGCTCTTCCAGCTTTTAAGACTGGCCTTCTTTACCTGCTTAACCAACTGTATGTATGTAGGAGCAACCATCAAGGACACTTAGAGACACAAAAAGAAATGTGTTTGGAATCTTGCCAAAGATACTGTCCCGAGGATGCTGGCCCCGTGGACTGCTTTAGAAAGTGTTGATTTGTGAGTGTCCAAACCTCTGGAGCCTGGGATGGGCCCCTGCCTCTGTGGCTGATGAAATCCTGTTTCTCCTAAGAGAGGGCATAGGGAAAGCCTGTTTCTCCTAGGAGAGGGCATAGGGAAAGCCTGTTTCTYCTAGGAGAGGGCATAGGGAAAGCCCCAGAAGATGTGCTTGTCTCAGCTGTACATATGCTGCCTGTGGAGGGCATAGCTTCTTAGTGTCCCAACATTGGAGGCTTTGGAAGTGGTATGCATTTAGCTTAACTGAGAGGGGAGATTTGCATGTAGAACAATTGAAAGACAGTGAAAGAGTCCTTTGACTTTTACCCTGTCATTCAGGAGAGAGAAAGTAAAGTGGGGGGGTGGGGGTGAATGTGGGGGATGTGCTGATTGCTTGTTGATCCCTGTGGCCAGCAGTGAAATCTGAAATSATGCCTGTGATAATACACCAAACCTTGATCCTGGGTTTGAGTGAACCACGGAGACGTTTTTCCTGGCTGCCTGGTTGCTTTCCTCTGTCTGATGTGTGGAGCAGGCTTCAGGGAACTGCAGGGACTGCAGGCCCAGGGAGGGTGAAGCCCCACGCAGTGCCTGGCACCACCATGGGTTCAGTGCACCGAGGTGTCCACCCGTGTCCCCCAGGCCCACAGCAGCACATGGTACATTGTTCTTCCACKAGCAGAACACAAAAAGTCTGTTATGTCGGGAGATCATTCTTATGTCCTGGTGCCAGAATTGGGCTCCCAGTGTACTTAAGAGAAAACTTCTCTAGTGGCAACTGTCATTGTTCACGTATAAACGGAAACTGTTCTCTAGCACAATATGCGTCTCTGAATACTGTTCCAGTTTCATAAGAGCACAAAGTGGATGGTCCTAGGGGAGCTGTGATCCCAGAGCATCGGTGCAGTTGATATTTTAGGAACCTGCTGGGCATGTTTAAATTCATGAGCTGGGAAACTAGTATGAACAAATCTGGCTTCGCACAGCGAGAGGCACGTAGGAATCCACAGGACTTCATTTGGGGTGGGAGGAGAGGAATAGACACAATGAAGGAGTTAGGTCTCTAAGTCAGGTGTCTTGAGTTGGGRGGGCACCCTTGACAGTTACCCCATGAGGTGCAGGAAAACTGTTCTCCTGGATGACTCTAGGGGCCTCCTAGCTTTAGAGAATTGACTGCGGAGAGGACTGAGAGGAAAGGCCTTGTGCTGGTGATGGCTTTGTGATTTTAAAAATGCCCCTACACCCCCCAGTCCCTAGGCCAAAGGATGCATTAGGTGTTCTGCACATCTGGTGACATTCCTTCCCTTAATAAAACCAGCTGCCGGCCAGAGAAGCCTGTCTTCCAAGAGTGCTGACAGATCCAAGAGCAGCTATCATCACAGGCAGGTAGAACAGGAACCCAACTTGGGTCTCACCAGGGCTGCCAGAGGCCCTTGTCGSGCACAACCATCTGCTTCACCTGCTTCAGGGTTGCAGAAAGAGCACAATGAAAATCCCAGTGAGCGCTGACTCCAAAGAGATGTCACTGCCTGTCGGTTGCTTCATCTTCAGAAAAGCCTAACTTTTTTTTTTTGCATTAAAAAATAATCTTCTTTCATAAAGACCCAGTTTACTTGGTTTTATTTTAACAGGAATGACATGATAAGCTGAGGTCTTTTAGGTTTTATRTGGAATAATTCTAAGACTTGACAGAATGCCAGTAGCCCAGGGTGTCCGTGGCAGTGTGCTGTCAGCATTTCATGTTCGAAACCCCGCTTACAGCACCAGAAGGCTGAATAGGCACAAGCAGTTCATGGTGTGTACCAGGCCACACAACAATCAATACTGAATTGGAACTGTACTCAAGTTGTTTGGTACTAGAGAGGAAGCTGACAGTCTGTTCTTGGTAAACTACCTTCCCCTGGKTTTTTCTTCCGTTTTGTTATTGTTTCTCAAGATTCATTTCTTTACCAGGTACTTTSTGATACAAGCATCAAGTCGCAGAGTACTCTGTACAAGCGTCAGCTTTGTAGAGGAGGAAGTAAACCTTTAATGCCAGGCAAATTGGAACCCATCTGCCTGTCAGTCCCAGTTGGTGTATGAGAGCACATTTAGCCATCGACAGGAGAAGCAGAAGCAAAAGCAAGGAACAATTGTTTTTGTTGGTTTTGGGGATTTTTTTTTTTTTTTTTTTTAAGGCAAGACGTGTTTCCTGTAGGGTGTGTGTACTTTCTTTGCCTTCACGTTTCCTTTGAAAGAAATCTCTTGTAAATTACAAAACTGTGAAATGGGTTGCCAAAAACCATTGCCCTTTGTTAGATGCCTCGAACAGTGGAAAAAAAATCTCTCCTGCACCCTGTCCACATCTGCTCCCTCCTCCCTTCCCTGGAGGGAGGATCTCATCCAACGATGTAATTACCATACGCTTGCTATTAAAGAGCCTTCCAAAYCCTGCTGGTGTGTGCCTCTTGTTTACTCTCTCCACAAAGTTTGGTCCTAATGGACACTTAAGTACCATGGGCAGAAGTGGAGGTGGAAGGAAAGCTGAGCAGAGGGATTGCGAAGGAGGTAGTTAAAAAAAAAAAAGAATGTCATCCAATTAAAAAATGTAAGCCAAAAAAAAAAAAAAAAAAAAGAAGAAGAAGAAGAAGAATAGGAGAAAGAGGAGAAGGAGGTGGTGGTTACATAAAACAGATCCAGAGGTTAATAATATATGTGTTCGGGGGTATCCATAGCTCTTACCAGCATTGTAGCTGGTGTTTAGTAAATTTCTATACTACCTCTGAACTAGTACTTTAGTATGTGAGGACTTTTTGGGGGGTACTGGGGATTGAACTCAGGGGCACTGAACCACTGAGCGACATTTCCAGCCCTATCTTTTTTTTTTTTTTTTTTTTTTTTAAGAGACATGGTCTCACTGAGTTGCTTAGCAACTCACTTTTGCTGAGGATGGCTTTGAATTCGTGATCCTCCTGCCTCAGCTTCCCCAACCACTGAGATTACAGATGTGTGCCACCATGCCTTGCGGACTTACTTTTTTCTAACCTAGTTAGCAGTCCTTTATGGCACAATTAGAAATCTGTATCCTGTGGCCA